GACTCCAGCACACAAGTCTCCTCCGGCCTATCCTGTTCAGTTAGCTTTGTATTGTCTTGGTGGAAAGGACTGGCATCTTTTGAATTTCTAAGAGGTTCTCATTTCTCTAATATTTTAGAAGGTGGAAGAATTAGCAGAACTGTAAGGTAAATGGCAAATAAATATTGCATCCTTTTTTTTCCTGTCCAGAGAGCCTTCTGTGGCACCTTCATACAGGAAATTAAAAAATGGTACAGAATTCCACGTAGCAGAGCAGTCAACCAAGGCACCAGCTTCAAGTGAAGGAGCCATGGATCATGATCATGGAATTTCCTGGTTGTCATGAATTGCACGCTCTTCCAGAGGTAATCGGAATATAAGGCTGTTGGAGTCAGCGCACAGTCACACTCGAAGCACCAGCTCTGAGATGATCTGAAAGGACAGCGCCACTTTTCGGGACCTGCTGCACTTGTTACAACGGTGCTGGGTCCCCAGAAGGAAGGATATAAGAGTCTAGTAACCTTTCTGTGGCCCCCTGTATATGGTGAACCATTCCAGCCTTGCTGATGCACTCAGGCAGCCAGGCCTGTGCATGCAATATGAACTTTTACCTGTTGTGCTTAGAGCTTAGTGTCATATGATGCCATCAGCTACACTGATGACTGTGTAGCCCTCATAACACAATTACCTCAGAGATCCCACCTCTTAATACTGCTATAATGGCAATAAAATTTCATCATGAGCTTTGGAGGGGGCAAACATTCAAATCACCTAATAGCATAACGACACAGTAACAATAAAACCACGCAAACAGTCATCGTCAACGGAATACTTTTTCTATGCCAGAGACAGGGCCGGTCAGTTTTAAATATTAACTAGCTTTATTTTGCAAGGATCCTATGAGGCAGGAACTTAAAAAATGACCTGTCTGCTAATACAGTTAGCTGAGGCCAATTAGTACATTCTCCTTGAGAAAGGTGATGTATCTGAACCACACCCCTGCTCTGCAGCTCTCAAAAATGTGGGTCCTCAGCAAAACCCTTTGTGGCTGAAGGGCTCGGGATCTTACTATATTACCTTGCTTGGGCAGATGGTAAATAACGTGTGAACAAAGACCTTGTACTTGCAAAGCTTTGGCAGTCATTCTTGAATCCCACTGTTCAGTATTCACTCCCTTCCCCGTTTGGGGTAGAACACCCATTGTGGTAGTCCTGGGACAAGCAGCAAGACCAAGCATATTCTCTTCCTGCTCGGGTAGCTGTGATGTTAGTGGTTTCTGTACATTCAGTCAGGTGGACACTTCCCTTGAAGACTGGGCTTCTTGGCTTCTTTTATATTTGTGGCACTCACTTTTAAGTCATTTGTGGTGATGTTGGGAGTATTCCAGCCTGTTTCCCACAATGATCAACATGGCAAAATGTACCCAAGGGTGCAATAGTGGCACTTATATCTTGGGGGTAACCAATAGCTGCCTAATAAGACTTAATGGTCACTCAATTGGAAGGAATTTGTGATTGGTGTTAGTATTTGGGCATCTGTACTGGCCTGCCCTTGGGGTTCTGATAGGCTATGTCCTCCACTGTAGCCACGCAGGGCACCTCCTGTGCAATTCACTATGTTTCTTTTCAAAAGGGCACCTCCCATCTCTCTCTCACTTTCTCTCTGTCTTATGTTCCCTTTCCCTTAATAAAAACTCCTTCATGTGAATTCTATTGCGTGGCATCTTTCTCTTGTGCACCACTTTTTTTTTTAAATTACAACAATTCGTTCTGTGAACCTAGCCAACTAACAATGAGCCCTAGAGGAAGTCCTGTTACTGATCCTTTCCTAAAACGGAAAAATTCCCAACTTAATTTCAAATATTTATCCTTATATTCACAGATAAGTGTAGCTCTCACCGCTCACCAAAAGGTCTTTTTTTTTTCTTTCAGTAGATGGAGACCATCACAGAATGCCACTACTGGTTAAAAGGCCCCAAACAACTCCTCAGGGGATCTGCATTCCTAATAGATACATCTGCAACATAACTCCATACGTCTAAGGCTCAGGGCACACTGTGAAAGAGGGGGTGGAAAGATTGTGAGTCAGAGGATCAGGATGTCTGCTGTGGGATAGTGTGCTCCACATGTGAAAGGGAGCTGCACCGTAGAAATTTCAACAATATGGTCACCTAAACAAGACTCACACAATGCCAACACCAGTGACATCCCAGTGTGGATGAAGGAAATCTCACAGGCCTTAGCCTAGATGAAGAGCTATAGGCAATGGATTCTAAGAAAGGGGAAACCAGTATTCTCTGGGCCTGAGTGCCCTGGGATGCCAAGAGGTCAGTCCTAAACACAAATACACACGAACTCAGCAGGTGTGCATGTGTGTGCGCACGCGCGTGTGTACCAATAACAAAGAAGAGAGGTCATGAATTTGAGGGCGACATATGATGAACTGGAGTGGGGAGAAGGTAAAGTGGGAATGATGTAAACATGATGCCAATGTATGACAATCTCAAAAAGAAAATAAATTTTATATTTTAAGGAGAAAAAAAGTAACACCACCCACAAAAAGAAGCTGTTCGGGCTCTTTGATTCTTTTGAACGTCCCCAAGTCAGGTTCTCTTCCCTGTCCACAGTCTCTGCAGCATTTGGGGAAAGTTTTCTAACAACCTCACCTCAACCTAAGGTGTCCATAGCTGATTTCTTGCTTGCTACCAAGATTGCTGTTTGGGATGGAGTCCTTTGTCTTTGTGACGTACCTGTGTAGACACTAGTGCTTTCTGCCTGGAAAACAACTCGATCTTCCCTGGCACAGATGAGGACACTGACGCCCTGGAACTCGATAGCCGTTTTGGTTATTTTACAGGCAGTTTGGTTGTGAGGAAAGCAGCAGTCTGAGAGAGATTGGAACTCCCTTTTAAAGGCTACATGTAAAAAATGAATCATACTCTTTGTGTTTCTGTTCACTTCCCTTCTGGTTAGGGCACTTCCTGGTGGTCTGGCAGGACAGACGGTGTGTGTGCTACTAGGTCCAGAAATCCCCGCCCCCAGTTCCCAATCAGTCTCATAGCAGCTGGAGATGCGTCTCTTTGGATGGGTAACTATCACAGCCAGGAAGGTTTACTGGGGCGGAATAAGCCACTTCTCTAGCTACACATTCACCCAAGGAAGTATTCGCTTCAGGGATGAGGGCGGGGCTTGCTTAATGAGCTGCAAGCAGGTGCATTTAAAGCGGCACACCCGCAGAATCGCTCTGCCTCACCTTTATTCCAGTGTCTTCACTTTTGACTTCCTTTCTCCCATTCTTTATTGCTGCTCATTCCTGCTGCCTGCCTTTCCTTCCTAGCACAGGTCTGCCTGGTTTCCCTGGATCTTCTTGAACAGGGATTTGTTCCTCTGAGCCCCTGCCCCTCCCCCGTGTAGTTCCAGCCTTCTGCCCACCCCCCACCCGCCCTGGTTGCCCTCTTACCAACCTTTAATATCTCTTAGTTTCCATCTCCCTTACTGCACACTCTTTACTCTGGGAACTTCGTATGGGTAGGAATCGGGTGTAGGTTCAGACAGCAGCCATGCTGCTTGCTTGACACTCAGCAGGCAAGGATTAGAAGGACTGGGCTGGTGAGATAAGATAGCTCAGCAGGTAAAGACGCCCCGGTTCTAAACCTGATGACCTGTGATCCACCAGGAAGGACAGACAACTTCAGAAAGTGTCAGGGCACATATGGACACACTCACACATAAAAAGTGAATAAAATGCAATAAAAATTAAAACAGGATGGCAGCAGAGTAAATTCTCGGCCCTCACCCTTGATGTCTGATAGGCCAGTCCCAACCCCTGCTCTCCCTGATGGAAAGAAGGGTCTTGGGTGAGATAATAGGATGATACACAGGTACTCCAGCGTGTGGGAACTGTTTAGGTCATACGTATTAGCGCGATTCTCCAGCCGCCAACATTAAAACACCCTGCATACAGATAGCCCCTTGATTCCTTCCCTCCAGGGCTTCTTCATGGGGATGGAGAAAGAGGAGAAACGGAGAGTAGGGTGAAACAATTTGGCAATGTGAGCGTGTAGAGTTTTATTTTTGTCAAAACTTTGGGCTACGATGTTGGCGTTTAGAAGGTGGGAAGCCGAGATGGCAGCCTCTTGTACTGTGTGCAGTACCACATACCACAGAGTCTGTGCCCAGGCCTGAACAACTTTTCTGATGCCCTGTCCCTTGCCTAAACTTTTAAGAATGTGAAACATTTTATTGGTAAAATAAATTCAGTTTTAGATAAGATAATGGCAAGGGTTAAGGAATTTTGCATAGTCTTAATACACCGTTTCCAGCAATATATCTGTCAGCAAAATACAGATTACATTTTGTTTCGTTTCCAGGTTCTTCACCTGGAAATGGTCACTGCAGATAGTCACGGAGGAGGCAATGCTGCAGGTGCAAGTGTCAGGGGGTGACCATTAAACCCAGAGTCTGCATTTATAGCCATGTCACCAGATATGAAGGTAGAATGTTTGAAATAAGAGGCTCAAAAACTATTAAAATGCACAAAACCAAACAAGTGCAAAAGAAACATAGTTACACTTCTGAAGTTTTGAAAGCTGAGCCCGGTAGCAACTTTGGAGATCACAGTTGCTTTTAACACAAGGGGCCATGGGCTCTGGTTTATAAACCTTAAAACAGTTCACACGAGAAGGGGCGGAGCCGTGACCAGTCCGGCCACAAAAGTACAACTACACAGGGCTAGCAGGTTCCTGGGGAAGGCCGCCGCACGGCCTTGAGTGGTGGTGGCGTTATCTGCACCACCGGCGTGGGAAAAGCGTCTGGGCTGCGTGAGAAAGTAGCGCGGCAGCGCGGGTCGCAGCTGTGGCCAGGGAGCAAGGGCCACCTATGCCTCAGAGCGCTCCGGGTTCGGACTGGGCAACGCCCGGGGAGGCCATTCCTGGGCGGGAGTGCTTGTTCTGGGGGTGGCTGTCCGGTTCCCGGCCTCCGCCCCCGCCCCGCCCCCCCCGGCCACCCCTTTGCAGCCGGGCGGGGCCCCAGCGAGTCCCGAGCTCCAGAGCCACTGAAGTTTCTGCTGCGCCAGCGCTGGGGCCCACGGTGTCGCTCAGCCCGGTAAGATGCACCCCACAGAGCTCCGGCCCTCTACCCTAGGACGCTGTCACCCCTTACAAGCCGCTCGCTGTCTCCGCTCAATCCCAGCGCTTCGGGGGCCGCCTCTCTTCCTTTCCAACTCCTGATTCCCACCGCTTGAATCGCCCTAGTCTGGGACTCAGTTCGTGGACTCTAGAGCTTTCTCGGCAGTGGCCGAGCCTCAGTAATGCGGAGAGGAGGGCCGTGGCACCCTCCCCACCACACAGTCAGGACCTATGGTCTCGGTGTGTGGGAATTTCAGGAGCGTTAGTCCCACTTGTTGCCTGTCACTCAACCCTTAGTCCCGAGAGCAGCCTGCCTGCCCGGGGTTGATGAGGGCAGTGAGTCAGGGGACATGCCCCTGCGCTGGGGGTCAGAGGAGGGGGTCAGGTTAATTGGCAATTAGTACAAAGTGGGGAAAGGCTCTTTGGTAGAACCTTTTCATCTTTCTTTTACTTACCCGAGTTCCATTCCAGCTTCTAGGACTCACAGACTCAAGCAGAGCCCGCGACTTTGTACAGGATTTTTTAAAATCCAGGGTTCAGATTCATTGTGTCAGGTACCTTGGGCAGTTTTGAGTCTGGGGGAAAACGAAGGGCTCTTTCTCATAAATTTTCCCTTTTTCTTTAAACTTTATTATTTTATTTCATGTGTATGATTGTTTTGCTCGCATGTATGGGTGTGTGCCTAATACCCATCAAACTCCTAGAACTGAAGTCTGGACGTTTGTGAGTTGTCATCTGGGTACTGGGAACAGAGCCCCAGTCATTTGGGAGTAAGTTCTCTGTAAGAACTCATAACTACTGTTCCATCTCTCCAGCCCCCTTCAAAAGACTTTAAAAGCACAAAATTAAAAGTAGACCATGATGAAAGAAAACAGCTACTAAAGAATTAAAAGAATATCATGCAATGTATGTTTTTAAAAAAGCAAATAGCCACTTCAAGTTTGAAATACTAGAGAATATAGAATTCAAGATAATTACACCCCCTGTAATATAAGAAAATACTTTTAAAAAGGTCATAAATACTGCTAATATTGCTGTAGCTGGCTGTCTACACAATACTGGAAAAGTGTTCAAGTTCAAGTAGATGGCAGTGAAGGGAGAGGTTTTTCTTTCATTCAAATGAATGGGCCCCGATTTAGATAGATAACCTGTTAATAGAGAGGTAACTTGGCTTCTGAGGTTTAACGCTTCCTTGAACCTACCATTGTGCCCTCTAATCTGGGTTTCTTTGGGCCTCTGCTTCACATAAGGAGGAGAAAAAGAAAAGATCACCCGCCCCAACAAAACAAGCCAAACATCTCCCCATACCCAAGAAGCACCCAAACTAAACTTGATGCAGAGGGTGCAGAGAGATGGCATACTCACCACTCCAGACCTCCTCTGTTTCTCTTCCCAGTGTTGGCCACTGCCCCTGTGTCCCCTAACCTGGTACATCAAAGGTTTGCTGAATGTCTTGGAGAGGGTAGCCTGTTATGCTCGAGGCTTGGGAAACGACTGTTTAAAATGAACTGCTTCTTTTGAACCTGGCAGAGCAACTCCATAAACACACTAGGACTTGGGAGAGCAAAATGAAAGTCAGGGCTCTTGGGTCTGTTGTTGGTTGGCGCCCTCTTGATAGGAAAGTGGGATTCCAGGAGTTTCTTTTGCCCATGTGTAGGCTTGTAATCAGATGAGTTGTCATATAGGAAGTGTCTTGTAAAGAATGGAGACAGAACCCATGACAAAGCATTTCTAGATACACATCTCTTCCCTCTTTGTTTTTTTTCTTTTTTCCATCCTGCCCCTCACCCATCACAAAACTCTTTGGAGATTTGGTAACTAGGAGAAAGAATGGTGGGTAATTTACTAAAATTACCAAGACTAGGCCTACTAATGTCAACTGAACCTCTATTATAGACCCTGAGAACTTCCATTGAAGTGTTGGTTCTGTAATTGGTCTGTGTGTCTGTGCGCATGTGTATGACACTCGAGATGGATGAAGGGCACCCCATTCTTCAGCTGGCTAAGTTTGGGTGATTATCATGAGATTTTCCCCAGGCCCTCAAATCTAAGCTTGCATTAAATAATAGAGAAAGGTCTTTACATTCAAGAGAATTCACCTTCTCTTATATTCAAATCAAACTTCCGAGCTCAAAGTGACCTACCTCTGGTCCTATAGCCTCCATTTTCATACTTATAAAATGGGGTCAATAATTCCCTCTTCAGCGATTGTTATGAGAAATTACATAAAGTATACTTTACACTATCCTACACATAGCAACTTTCCATGAATGATCCCCCCCATGCATTTCTTCTGCCTTGGACCCTTCATTTAACCATAGCTGCTTCCCAGAGAATCATGGTGCTTAATGGTGCAGAAAATGGAACATCTGGCTTCCACCCTGATTATATTGCAGGCCTAAGTATCTGACCTTGCCATTCTTTGCCACAGAAATTTAATCTGAGGATTCAGTAGACAAATATCCACACCCACCTCTTTCTCTTCCTCAATGAGACAAATGCAGTTTAGGAAGTCAAGGGGCCTTTGACCCGTCTATCCCAGCCCTTTGACCTGGTGTAAGGAAAGCATGAGCTCTATCTGGTAGCATCTGAAATGTGGACCTGGGTGTCCTGACTCAGGGTATGCCCTCAGAGAAAGTGTCCTAGTGCATGGGTAACTGTGCTATCAGGTCCAGCTTAGGAGAGATGTGAGCTGTGGGGGAATCTGACATCCTGTGCCTGTGTGTATCTCTTTGTGTCCTGATTACCAAAGGATCGAATTCAGCATCTAGGGTCAAACAACAGATATGTAAATTGTAATTAAAGAGTCTTTTCTCATCAAGGCTCTACAAACTCGATTCCAGGTAATGGTAAGTCAACGTAATTGGCCAGTCTCTTTACAGTGACACTCCACCCTTCCTCACTTTCTGCATGTATGTTTGAATCCCAGTGTACTTTGGCTTGATGAGTAATTTTATTGTGATCATTTTAATAACTCAGGAAGCCAGGTGTGGTGGCTTAAACACCTATAAAATCTCAACACTTGGGAGATGGAGGCAGAAGGATTAGGAGTCCAAGGTTATCCTTCTCTTGGAAGCTTTCCTGGACTACACGACAGCCTGCCACCTCAACCATCCATCCATCCATCCATCCATCCATCCATCCATCCATCCATCCTTCATCTATCACCCCTCCCTCCCTTCCTCCCTCCATTCATCTATCCATCATCCCTCCCTTCCTCTCTCCCTCCCTTCATCCATCCATCCATTCACCCATACAAAGAAACAAATACCAGGTTCAGGAAGTCTGGGCCTCTGCTGACCCTCGCTGTGTGACCCAGTTAATTCACTGGAGACCTCCCTTTGCAGAGGGTCTGTGGCTAGGCCCACATGGGTTTGTCCAGGCCTTGGATAGGAAACCTGACTAGAAGCCTGCTGTGAACCATGCAGTAGAGGAGTAGGGAGTCATTTGTTTTTATTTACCGTGCATTAGACTGTGAGAACTCAAGCTCCCCGGCAATTAGGAAATGTAAGCGAACAGAAAACAAGACTTATTTAATTTTCGTATGCTCCAGTCAAAAACCTTAACTTTCAGCTAAAGCAATGCAATTCATTGATGCACAGTTTCCCTTTTTGAGGGCAAAATCTTTTCTTTATGTAAGTATTATCTTTGTGTTTTGGCTTTTTCCTTTGTGAAATAGTCAGTTTTATCATTATAATGATTGTTGTGATTATAAACTATTACAAAAACACACAAAAAATACAACAAAGTACTTAAGCTTGGAGGGAATTTCTCAGCCGCAAAGGAAATCACTTTTTCATTATGAAGACTTCATCAAGAATTTTTTCATTTCCCTTTTTGTTTTAGAGATTATAATTACATTATTCCCTGCTTCCTTTTCATCCCTCAAACCCTTCCATACATCCCCAGGACTCTATTGTTTCGTGTGTGTGTGTGTGTATACTCAGTATGTACAATGTATGTACGTTTTCAGGGCTGACCATTTAGTATTGGAAAACACTAAACATCTTCCCTGGAAAACACTGTTTCTTTCACCCTTAGTGTTCCTTAGCTGCCTAAAGTTCTTTGTGTAGGGCTGGGGCTTTGTGGGCTCTCCCCCACCCACTTATTCTATTGTTGTCTTGTTCAGTTCATGCTTAGGCAGTCAGGTTGGTGAGACTTTATAGGGGCAGCTTCTGACATTCCTAGGAGATCCAATCTCACAGCAAACTGCGTGGTCCTCTGAATTTTACAATCTTTCCACCCCGTCTTCTGATATGTTCTCTGAGCCTTAGGTGCAGGAGTGTTTTGTAGATGTATTCATTGGGACTGGGCTCCATAACTCTGCATTTTGATCGGTTGTGGTCTCCATCTGTTGCAAAGAAGAGATTCTTTGATGAGAGCTGCGACTGTACTTATCTGTGGGTATAAAGACACATGCTTAGGTTATTAGGGAGTATGTTGGTTTAGTAAAGTAGTGGTTGTAGGTTTTCCATCGAGCTCCATGACTTCACCACCCCAGGGTAGCTGGCTAAGTTTCCAGTACCAGGCACAGTATCCCTCTTCTTGAGTGGATCTTCAATCCATTTAGAGAGCTGATGATTATCACACACCAAGCTATGTGTGCCGCTACTGCACCCTTATGGATATGATGCCATGTGGCTGGTTGTTGTTCTGGCTCATAGCTGGGTAGGACTGTTGCTAGCTCTTAAAAGACAATTCTAACAGTGCTCCCTGGAGAGTGGCTACAGGCCTTACAAAGTTGCATGCAACTCTTCCTGTTTTGTGGACAAGTTAGCTCTGGTCCACAGTTGGAACTCTTGCTTCACAGCTAAATAGTTAAGCAAACGCCTGCACTGATTGGAGCCCACATAGAGTCCTAGCATGCAGGGCTTAGTGGAGATTGCTTCATTTCCTTTATTTGTTAACAATATAGTAATCCAGTTCCTGTATATGCAGGCAGGGCCAGCCCAGCATTACTCAAGAGGAGGCGAGCCA